ACACACACACACACACACACACACACACACACACACACACAACGCGATGGGAAAAAATATTTTGGAGAAAGCATGGCCGAGGTGCTGTTGGCAAAGGGACAGCAGTGACAGGTTTTGATGAAGATTCATCTGTTAATTCAATCAAGAATTTGTCACCTCTGGACCAGGAGTATTCCAACAAACCTCCGCTTGGTTGCCCACAATCTACCCTCTGTAAACATAAGGTTGTCCAAAACTCTGCTGTCTGTGTTCAAACTCAGAACCAGTTTCGTTCACCTATCATTTGTGCTCACTGACCTATACTAACTCCTACTCAAACAACATCTTCACTTTAAAGCTCTCAAGTCCATTTTCAAATCCTTCCCCAATCTCACCTCTCCTTATCACTGTCACATTTTATTTTGTAATGCTCCTGGGAAGTGCCTTGGGATGTTTTATGACATTAAAGTTGGTATATGAATAAACCATAAATGTCAAGATTCAAGTCAATCTCTGAAGCCCAAACAAAAATATAAACCATCAGAGTGTTTAAAAAAAAACTGGCAATTCATGCTAAATTAATCTGTAAAATCACTGCTTTCAGCATCTAATGCATGGGGTTCATCATTTATTTTTGAGTCACTTTGGCTATGGCATTATAATAAGGATCCCACTCTGGCTCAGATGTGGCACCATCACTTTCAGGATCATCCCTCTGCACAATCATCTTTTTGATCAACTGATTTGGATATTGTGCATTTTTTTGAAGGAGCTAAAGACAGGTTGGGCAGGAGTAACAACCCAAAATTTGAAAATGGAACAACACAAAACATCAAGCTAGACAGCATGCACTTTCCACTCTGTTAAGGTTTCTTTCTCCATCGTCCATCTACCTATTCCATTTGCATGAATATAATTTTTGAAAGGCTCAGTGAGGCAAAAGTCCAAAGGTTCAACCCCTAATACAATTACAATGTGGGTGCTAGTTCCTCTTGATATCTTTTGAACTCATCAGTTATTTGGGATCAGCATAAATCCCACATTAACAAGCTGCATTCTTTATGTAGCCCATTGAGATCCCTATTCTACACATTATTCGTAACTTCATCCATCCAACAGTTATCATGAACATGCACAACGCTTGATGAACAATTATTAAAGGTATTAAATTGGTTCCATTGGTCATGCAGGTTAAACTCACCCTGATTCTTGTCTTTAGTTTCCTGTAGATTTCATTAGAACTGTATTTGTATTTTTAAAACAGGGCTCCGGGGCAATTTGGCAAATTGGATCTAAAATTGGCCTGGGTGACAGGAAAGCTCAGGATAAAGGTCGAAGGGTGTTTTTGTGACTGGAGAAAAACCTGTGTTGAG